AAAATATATTTAAAAAATATTTCTTCTATTTAATTCACTTTCAGTGTGCATGAATTCGTGCACTGGGCCACTAGTAAAAAATAATGAAATCTTACCTTCTGTGATGGCATAGATGGACCTAGAGGGTATTATGCTAGTGAAATAACTCAGACAAAGAAAAATAACAAATGATTTCACTTATATTTAGAATTTAAAGAACAGAATAAACAAAATGGAAATAGACTCATAGACATAGAGAACAGACTGATGGTTGCCAGAGGGAAAGGAGTTTGGGGCGACTGGGTGAAAAAAGGTGAAAGATTAAGAAGTACAAATTGGTAGCTACAAAAGACTCACAGAGATGTAAAGTACAGCATAGGGAATATAGTCAGTAATATTGTGTGGAGCCAGTTGGTACCTGAAATATTGGGAGGACCACTCTGTGAAGTACATGACTGTCTAACCACTATGCAGTACATCTGAAATTAATACAGAATAATGTTAAATGTAAACTGTAATTGAAATTTTTAAAAATTAACAAACTGATGACCTGGAGTCTCCAAATTCTATATTCTGTGATTAATTCCTAGTTTGCAGCTATAATCCAGAAAAAAAAGGGCACCTTTATTTCAGGATCCCTGCAGACAAGATTACTGTAGGTTATTTTAAAAGCCTCCTTTGCTCCTATAATGGGGACTAAGGGGCGGAGCAGATAACTGTTTCAGCTCCCCACTTTACCTCTGTCAGAATAGCCTACGTTGTGCCTAGATTTTATCTTTCTCTGGAAAAAATTAGTAATTAAACTAAATGCTCTTCACTTTCAAAAATAAAAAAAAATAGCTTAAGGAAAGTAAACCTTACAAACCCATGAAGTAATATATTTTAAATTAGTACTTGGAAAAATTAATTATATAACTAAAGTTTAAGTGAACACATTGTACTATCTTCTCCAAAAATAATCATGTAACTTCTCCAAAAATAAGATCTATTTGCTACATATTAGAACACTAAAAAATGAGAAATAATATATGTAAGTCTCTACACACTTAAATCTTTAAAATACCTTCTCTTGAAAGTGACAGAACCATTTCATGATTCATATATATATTAATGACAGTGACCACAATATTTGATCTACAGAAAATGTTTTTATTTTTTATGTTATTTCATTTTATAATTTTTAATATAAAGCATTTTTTACTGAATTTATTGGGGTGACATTGGTTAACAACATTATACAGGTTTCAGGTGCACAATTCTACAACACATCATCTGTACACTGTATTGTGTGTTCACCACCCCAAGTCAAGTCTCCATCCATCACCATTAATCCCCCCAATACCCTCTCCACCTCCTCCCACCCCCTTTCCTTTCCACTCCCTACCCCCCTGGTAATCGCCACACTGTTGTCCTTGTCCATGAGTTTTTTCCTCTTTTTTTTTTTCCTTTTTTGCTCAATCCCGATCCCCCCCCCCGCTCCCCTACACACACACACACACACACACAGGAAATGTTTTTGAAAAGTTTTGAATTATTGCCTGACCAGCTTGGCTCTGTGGTTGAGCATTGACCTCTGAACCAGAAGGTCACGGTTCGATTCCCGGTCAGGGCATATGCCTGGGCTTGATCCCCAGTGTGGGACATGCAGGAGGCAGCCCATCAATGATTCTCTCTCATCACTGATGTTTCTATCTCTCTCTCCCTCTCCCTTCCTCTCTGAAATCAATAAAAATATACTTTTAAAAATAAAACTTTTGAATTATTAATCTTACATAGCTTAAAAAATTAACACACATCTCACTGTATCATCTTTCTTACTGCCTTAATACTAGTGAAATTTGCATCATAAATCAACTAGAGATTCTATTTTCAACACAGTTTAGTTCATTGGCTTCTCAGAAATAACATTAACCATTAGACGTAATTCGAAAAGTCTCTGATCTATATTTTGCTGAGACATGACTCAGAAGATGGCAGGCAGGTGCGCAGAAGGGGTCCAGTTTGTGGTAGAGAGTCCATCTGATCACTCAGCATGGATATCTCAACATGGCCTAATTGTTTTCTGTTGATAGTTGTTTATGTATTTTGTGAATGGATCAATCATATGTTAAATGGTATATCACAGGAATTAAGATCTTCCGATTAAAAAAAACAACTTGTGAACATTAGAAACATCAGGCTCTATATATTACATGTGTTTTTTAGTCAGGTATCATTTATAAATTTATAAATAAAATATAAAAATATAATCACCACACAATATAGAAACCATGGCAGTATCTCAAAATACTCTCATATTGCCCTAACTGGTTTGGCTCAGTGGATAGAGCGTCGGCCTGCAGATTGAAGGGTTCCAGGTTCAATTCTGGTCACGGGCATGTACCTTGGTTGCGGGCACATCCCCAGTAGGGGGTGTGCAGGAGGCAGCTGATTGATGTTTCTCTCTCATTGATGTTTCTAGCTCTCTATCCCTCTCCCTTCCTCTCTGTAAAAAACCAATAAAATATATTTTTAAAAAATACTCTCATATCCTTTGCTTTAAAAAAACTTTTTAATAAAAGGTAATATATTAATGGCAGAAAATTTAAGAAATACAGAACAGCAAACATAAGAAAAAAGTAACCATTTTTAAATGCAAAATAATCAACTTCTAATAGAAAAGCATTAGTGATTATATGGACCACCTTTTAAACTGCAAAGGGCCGACTGAATTCAGATTTTGTTTCTCTATGTAATTAAATTCAACCCTTTTTCACAAACCCACGGGACTGCTAAACTGTGATTTAATAAATACTCATAGTAAAATTTGTTTATTTTAACATCAAAAAGCAGAGAATAGAACCTTTAGATTAAATTTGAGACTCTCATAAGTTATATTACCAAAACAGAGTACTGATTTGAAACTATGCCATTAATATTGTAAAGATAATAAAGACTTTGAAAACATCTAATGATCAAGTTTCCTTTAGGAAGACTAGATTACAGAATTAATGTAATAAATTATTATTCTTACTAATATTTATTCTATATAACTAGAGGCCCAGTGCACAAATTTGTGCACGGGTGGGGTCCTTTGGCCTGGCCAGCGATCGAGGCCTAACATGGGGGCCGGCGGCCGGGGGGAGGGGCTATGGGAGGTTGGCTGTGGGAGCACACTGACCACCAGGGGACAGCTCCTGCATTGAGCATCTGCCCCCTGGTGGTCAGTGCGCATCATAGTGACTGGTCGACCAGTCGTACCGGTTTTCCAGTTTGTTCGGTCCTAACTGTCACTTAGGCTTTTATATTGATATCTTGCTATTATCAGCTATAGTTTAGATCTATATTTTTAATTAAAAATATTTTATAACTCTGAAAGAATATAGCTCCCATCTTCCCTTTTAAATTTTGAGATTTATGTTTTTGATGTAAATGTATTTATGGATTTATTTTAAGAAAACCAAAGTAGAGCATCTCTTTTCACATACCTCTTTTTAACCTACTTACTGCTAAAACTTTTTCAAAGTTTAATGAAGCAGAGATTAAGCAATCAAATTTAATGCCTAGATGCTTCTTTGTAAATTGATTAAAATACCATCTACTAATCTTTAGAGATGGGCTACCTTTTATTTTAAGCTTTTATTTTAATTACTTATAGAAAGTGACTCTGCTCCTTGCATGTGGCATTTAATATACTCATTATTTTTATATTAAACACAAAAAATGTTTATTTATTTATATTAAGAGCAGACAAAATGAACTTTAATACCAAAAAAGAGTAAAAAAAGGGTCACTTTATAGTGATTAAAGTTTCAATTTATCAAGAAGTCTTAATAAATTTAAATTTCTATGTGCTTAAGGATATGGTCTCAAAGACAAAGGAAATATTTACAGATCTATAAGGAGAAATAGAGAAATCCACTATCTTAGAGATTTTAATATACCACTGTGTTGGTAATTGATTCAAGTCAATTTTTAAAAATTAGTAAGACTATATAATGTTAAAAGAACATGATTTATGACCAACCTAATTTTTATAAAGTTATAATTCTCCAAACCTGAATAGTATCATGACATTAAAAAGCTTGAATGAGTAGTTTTTTATAATGATAGTAAAAAATATACATGTAAGAAAATAATTTTAAAGCCCAAGAGGCTCTACCAGAAAATTCTTTTAAACTTTCAGTAACAGATAATTCTCATACAACTCATCCAAAACATAGACAGAGAGGAAATATTCCTTAACTCATTTTATGCAAAACCTTGATCTTAAAACCCAACAAAGACAATAGGAAAAAAATTATAAGCCATTCTCATTCATGAACATGTATGTGAATATCCCAACTTCATTATGGAACCATATAGGAAAAGGGGTTCTGGGAACCACACAAGGGCGAAGAAATGATCATTCTTCAAATCAGGATAATGATTACGCTGGGGAAAGGAATATGGTTGTGATCATGTAAGAGTATCTTAGAGTGTGAGTAGAGGGGAGTGGGAGATTGGGAATTTATAATTATTTCCATAATCAACCCATATATTGTATGTACTTTCTGTATGTTCATTAAACACATTTCACAACAAAAGAACAAAACAATTTTTTAAAGTAATCTTCATTATAGTAAATTTATGGAAGTTACATATTCTATTAACATCTGGAGTTGATATTGAAGAGCTAATAGACTAAGGACATTATTTAACCCTTTTCTTATAAATTCTTATACTGACTTATTTTATTGCACATATGTTCTTTCTCTAATGAAAAAAATCTAATGAATCACAGTTTACTATGACTATAAATAAGAGTTTCAAAGTACACATTCAGTATTTTTAATCCATCCTGGAAATGGGCACACGTCTGAGAACAGAGATTCTTTCCCAGGAACGTAGGCCAAAAGATTATGCATTCTAAAATCACTTTTATGCTTCTCATGATTTGGCATGGTTGCTATCTAAATCACACCAGACTGTATCGTTTCTAAAACTTCAAGCTTATTAAAAAGAGAGCTGTTGGGAGATAAATAATACACTTGTGCTATTACCTTTTAGCCGGTGACTTAGAATCTGTTCCAAAATAGCTGCAAAATTATTAAATTCAGGAGAAGAATCATCAATTGTCTCAAAGCAGGACCGATCAATCAGGGTCTTTACAGAAAACCTATGAAAAAAAGGAGATTATTATTGTTTTTAAGCAGAGTTGATTTATTCACCCAAGTAGCAAAAACAGGAAGAAAGCAATTTGGGGAGGTATTAGAGAAATACTTTATAAGATTATATATTTTAAAAACTCCCTCTATTCAAATTCACTGTGTAAATAGAAACATTTACAGAAATATCAGGCTTTTCATTTATATATTTACTATCTGTTGATTATACTAAGCCACTGTCCTCACAGTTATTAAAATCAGAATTTAAAAAAGACCTAAATTATTAACTCCAAAATACTTGAAAGCTATGACACTACTTGTAAGAAATTTGAGCATCAGACCAAAATGTTTTCAAGAGTTTTGAAGCACAACATTTAATAAACTTCGATGTCAGTGTTCATGATATGTAGATCCAAAGTTTTTATGAGCTATAAATAGGGAGACTTAAAAATATGTAAAGTAGGCTATACTTTTTCCTCTCATCAGAATGTCTTTTATCTTATTTCTGACTGCCAAAAATCAACACATTTTCCAAGACTCCATTCAGATAACATCGCTTCAGTGAAGGATTATCCTCTAACATATTCCTAGCAAACTAATATTTTGTTTGTATCTCCCTCCAGAGACAATTACAATTTATCTTACTGCCGTTATTTGTGTTGTCTATCTTTATCTTATGAAAATATAAATTCCTTCAGGGCAATGAATGAAATTGAAAAATATATTACAAAGAATCAACAGTAAAGGAGATGAAACAGAGGATCAAATAAGTGATTTGGAAGATAAGAAAGTATAAAACACCCAATCAGAACAGCAAAAAGAAAAAATAATTTTTAAAAATGAGGACATTTTAAGGGAACTTTGAGAACATCAAGTGTACCAACATTAACATCTTGGGGGTACTGGAAGGAAAAGAGAGAGAGCAAGTAATTAAAAAACTATTTGAAAAATAATGACAGAAAACTGCCCTAATCTGGAGAAGGAAATAGACATACAAGTTCAGAAAGTGCAGAGAATCCCAAACAAGATGAACCCAAAGAGGCCCAGACCAAGACACATCCGAATTAAAATTTTAAAGATAAAGAGAGAATCTTCAAAGCAGCAAGAGAGAAGTAATTAGTTACCTACAAGGGAGTTCCCATAAGACTGTCAGCTGATTACTCAACAGAAACTTTGCAGGCCAGAAGGAATTAGCATGAAATATTCAAGTGATGAACAGCAGGACCTACAACCAAGATTACTCTACCCAGCAAAGTTATCATTTAGAATCAAGGGACATATAAAGAGCTTCCCAGACAATAGAAAGCTAAAGGAGTTTATCACCACCAAACCAGAATTACAAAAAAATGTTAAAAAGTCTTTTTTAAGAAGAAGAAGGAAGATTAAAAATATGAATAATAAAATGGCAATAAAAACTTGTGTGTCAACAATTACTTTAAGTGCAAATGGGTTAAATGTTCCATTCGAAAAACATAGGTGGTTGAATGGATAACAAAATAAGATCCTTACATATGCAGTCTACAACAGACTGCTTCAGATTGAAAGACACACAGAGACTGGAAGTAAAGGAATGGAAAAAAGTATTTTATGAAAATAGAAACAAATGAACAAACAAAAGCTGGAGTAGCAATACTTATATCAGACAAAATAGACTTTTTTAAAAAAAGCTATAATAAGAGACAAAGAAGGACCCAGCAATTCCACTTCTGGGTATTTACCCAAAGAAATCCAAAACACTAAATTGAAAAGACATATGCATTCATATATTCATTGCTGCATTATTTACAATAGCCAAGATATGGAAGCAACCTAAATGTCCACTGATGGATGAGTGGATAAAGAAGTAGTAGTGCATATATACAATAAAATATGACTGAGCTATAAATAATCAGTAAATCTCCCATCAGCAACAACATGGATGGACCCAGAGGGTATTGTGCTGAGTGAAATGAGTCAGACAGAGAAAGACAAATGCCATATGCTTTCACTTATATGGGAAATCTAAAAAAAAAATGAACAGGCAAATCACAAAGAGGCTGATAGGTACAGAGAATATTTTGATGGCTGCCAGATGGGAGGGGGTGAGGGGATGGGTGTAACAGTTGATGGGATTAAGAAGTACAAGTTGGTAGTTACAGAATAGTCATGGGGATGTTAAGTACAGCCTAGGGAATATAGTCAATAATATTGTAGCCCTAGCCATTTTGGCTCAGTGGATAGAGCATCAGCCTACAGACCAAAGGGTCCTGGGTTCGATTCTGGTCAAGGGCATGGACCTCATTTGCAGGGTCCTCCCCAGACCAGGCCCTGTGTTTCTCTTACATTAATATTTCTCTCTGTCTTTCCCTCTCTCTTTCACTCTCTCTAAAAATAAATGGAAATGTTCTCAGGAGAGGATTAAAAAATAATATTGTAATAACTATGTATGGTGTCAGATAGAGACTAGATTTATTGGGGTGATCACTTCATCTATACTAATAAAAGGGTAACATGCTAATTAGACCAGATGTCTTCCCGACATCCATCCAGACAAAGCCATGGTGGTGAGGGCCGAGGCAGAGGCGGTTAGGGGCTACCAGGCTGGCAGGGGAGGGCAGTTAGGGGCAACCAGGCTGACAGAGGAGGGCAGTAAAGGGCGACCAGGCCAGGAGGGGCAGGCAGTTAGGGGCGACCAAGCCAGCAGGGGAGGGCAGTTAGGGGCAACCAGGCCAGCAGGGAAAGGCAGTAAGGGGCAACCAGGTAGGCAGGCAAAGGCAGTTAGGGGCGACCAGGCAAGTAGGCAGAGAGGTTAGGGGTGATCAGGCAGGCAGGCAGAGTGGTTAAGGGCAATAAGGCAGGCAAGTGAGAGGTTAGGAGCCAGTGGTCCCGGACATCCCCTGAGGGGTCCCAGATTGGAGAGGATGCAGACCGGGCTGAGGGACCTCCCCGCCGTGCATGCATTTCGTGCACCGGGCCTCTAGTAAATTATATAAATCTCTAATCACTGGGTTGTGTACCTGAAGCTAATATGATATTGTACATCAACTTTAATTGAAAAATTAAAAAAAAGAACTGCACTTAATTGTAAGGCCCTTTTATGTAATTTTTATATTTTTCAAGTTCTTATGTAAAAGCTATTACTTAGACTTGATTTGATATTTTTAGACATTCATCAAATTATCATTTTTTTATTTGAAAACCAGTCCTCTTCAAGAAATAGATGACTAATATTAACATCATCATTATCAGGAAATAGCTCAGCATCTGTGTGATATTTTTTAAATGTATTAAAATTCGTTTTACAGATTTGGTTTTTATAGCACATCTTAGCTAGTTACTGTGTTATGGACAAAAAGATTCCGGAATTATGGAGCTAGCTACACGATTCTAGAGAAGTGGTGAGTGGGAAGACTTGGCTAGCTAGACTTAAGGATCTAATTCACCTTCTGAAATTTAGTTTTGTGTTGGCAGGAGAACAGGGTATAATTGGTGAAACAAAGCTGAGAAATATTATTTTTCTGCATTATTCACTTTGATATATTATAAATTATTTAAACTGCTTTTTCACCCTGAAAATATCTTTCTGCTTGGAAATAAAAGAAATTGTGTGTAATGATGTGCTTTGTGATATTTGGATTTTGCTTTTGTTTTAGTTTTTAGGGAGAGTTTGAGTTAAAAGTAATTTAGCATTCTGAGACTCACCATCTTAGGTTTTTGTCATGTAGATATTGTCTTCTATAGGAATATAAACTATTGATAACATGATAATAAAAGACTTATTTTATTGACTACTTATTGATCTGTATATGGCTCTGGATGCTACAGAAATGTACGTGTTACTCTCCACGGCTATTGCATTTTACAAAGTAGATAATTTGTTAGGTAATTTTGTATTAGTCCTGAAGGACAGTAGTGACTAAAATCTCATCAGACTGTTATAGGTGGTTGAGTTCTAACCTAGCTCTTTTGATGAAATAAGCACTTTGTTAGTTTTATCTTTTTAAATACAGTGGGGCCTTGACTTACGAGTTTAATTCGTTCCGTGACGGAGCTCGTAACTCAAATTACTCGTATGTCAAATCATAAAGTGAACGAGTGAGACAAGTGATGCTGGGCTGATGTTGTGGCGTTCACTGTGACGTTCCCTGCGCCAACTAGCGGTGGGGTATCTGAAGCTGGCTCGTAACCCGAATTTTAGCTCGCAACTCAAAGCAAAAAATCGGCCAAGAGACGGCTTGTATCTTGAAAAACTCGTTAGTCGGGACACTCGTAAGTCAAGGCCCCACTGTATAATTTTCAGTTTATTTCACCAATGTGCATTAATATCTGAGATGCTGTGATTTTCTAAAGCAGTAAGTTACTCCTCCTTGTGATTGCTGAGTCAGCTTTTCCTACTCCATTCCACCTAATAAAGATTATAGAGAAACACTCTGACATTCAGAACTGTCCTTCCATTTAGGTCAAAGGTGGAGGTGAAGATGTGTGGTTTTTGTTTATTCATTTTAGGAACACTTTTCCTAAAAATTTATATCTTACTGGACAAGAACATCTTACTTAATTATTCTTATTCAAAGTTTTCTGGGGATTTGCAACATTTTTTCTGGTGTAGTATCCTCAAAGTTTACTGAGGATGTGCAACATTTTTCTGGTGAAATGGACATAAGAAATAAAAATAAGTTTTCAAGTCCCTTTTTAATCTGGTTTCTGTTTACCATTTTATTTCTATTCATTTAGTCATGCATTTCATCTAAATTAACTATGTTTCTGGTACAAGAGAACAACTTCATCAATGTTACTTCCTAGATTTTTTTCCCTTTTATGTAATAGCTTCCTCCATTGAACTCCAGTTGTTGTTACAGATAGATTAATGTTTAACTACATGTTACTATCTCAACTTTTCTTAGACAAGGTTATTTGTCAGAACCAAAAAAGAATGAAAATTATTTGAGTAATTATTTTCTCAAGGATATATAATTACTATCATTCTATTTGTATAAGATAAAAGTGATTTCATTGTATACAAAGAAT